GAGCCCCCTCCCACCCCCCAGTCCCCACCTGTGGGGCCCGCCCTGCCCCGTGGCCCCAGCCCTGCCCAGACACCCGGTGGGTGGCCAGAGTGTTAAACGTCCCCACCGTCCCCGAGGTTCCAGCAGGTGGGGTTGTCAGTCCCAGGAGGGCAGGGAGTGGAGGGCAGGGTGGTGCATCCCTGGCTCAGAAATGACGTCAGGAGGCCAGAAAAAGGCCACTGCCGGGCTGGCCACAGCCCCCGCAGCAGCCACACACCTACCCAGGCCGGGCTGCGGGCCGCGAAGGCCGTCACTGCGGGGACAGGGGAGCCGCGCTCCCGGCCACCTGCTGCGCCTGCTCCTGCTCATCCTGGGCCGAGGGCTGCCCGGGGGGCACGGTGGCTGCCACCGCCGCCGCCTGGGTGGGTGTCTTGCGCTCCTCCTTGACGGCGCGGTAGTTGTCCCCCCAGGCCGCGGGCATTTCCGTGCCGTGCTTGCGGCTCAGTGGGTAGGCCCCAATGGCCGCCAGGATGCTGCGGTGGCGCTCGGGGTCCATCTCGGTGTAGTACATCTCCAGGGTCAGCGGCGTGCAGATCTTGTGCTGCCGGGGGAGGGAGGCCGGGTCAGGAGGGAGGGTCTGGCTGCATGGGGGGCCAGTCCTCCTAAGTGACAAGCCGCCCCTCCAGGCCCAGTGCGGCACGCTGGCCGCACCCCGTCTGTCCCTCCTGCTCGGGGGCAGCTCAGCAACACAGCGCACAGTGTGTCTACAGGCGTTTCTTTCCGCGTTGGCCTCCAGTGCAGAACTGGAGAGCGGCAGAAGGCGGTGGTCCCTGCCTGGTGCTGGGTGGAGTGGAGGGCTCTGGGGGCAAGAGCCAGCCTCCACCCCCACTGCACTGGGACTCCCAGTGATGGCAGAAGCACTGATGTCAGCCAGGACCAAGTGGGGGACAGCCACACACACAGCCGGCTCTCCACTCGCCTGCCCACCGCTGCACCTCCTGCCTCCCCGCTTACTTTCTTTTTAAATTAGAAGGTAAAACCTGTTGCTAAAACAACTTGTCAAAAGCCAGGATCTCAGCATGTCTGGAGGAGTAGCAGCACCAGGAGGAGCTTTGGGGACCACGTTCCCACAGGAGTAGGAAACATCCTTGCTGCCCCCAGTGGGGCGCAGGGTGCCTCCCGTGGCCTGGCACGGCCTGCAGGCCATTGGAAGACAGGGGTCTCCACTGCCCTCCCCCGGGCCCAGGCCCCAGGCCCACCCAGCCTTACCCGAAGCAGGAAGCCATCTGGGCAGGTGAACTGGTCGTACCAGATGGCCTTGTACATGATCAGGACGCAGCCCAGAAGTGCCATGGCAAAGGCGATCATCCGAGCTGTGGGCAGCTGGGCATGAGGGAAATGGAGGAGCGCAGTTACTGGGGGGTGGAGGGCAGTGAACTGAGCCTGGGGGCCAGCTTCCTCAGGGACGCTCCTTCAGGGGCTGGGCCTGGGCACAGGACCACCATCTGCCAAAGTCTTGGCCCCCCACTTCCACCCCAGGCCATCAGATTTGCCTTCCCTGAAAGTCAGCACCAGAGTCAAGCATCCAGGCACCGTATTGGGGGCCAGGCCTTGCTGGTGGCCCTTCTGCTGGGGTTCTGGAAACACTGCCACCAGGTAGAGTACATGCCACCTTTGACCCAGAAGGTGCTTGCAGGCATTTGTCTGGTAGCTTCCTGCCTGTGTGGGCACTTGTACGGGCCAGTGGCTGCAACACTGTGTGGGGTCATCTCAAGGGTTCACCAGGCCTCCACAGGGACTCCAGCGAGGGAGGGGGCATTGACATCTGCCGCTAGACGAACGCTGCAAAGTACAGCCATGCCTCACCAGGCCCCTACAACAGGTGCAGATTTTACTACTGAAAAATGAAATGAATAGCCCACTATTTTCTTGGTATTCCTTGCTCAATAAAGAAAATTTTTTTAAAAAGAGAGAAAAGAAATAGTCCACTAAAAATGATGAAAGCCATCACTAGTAAGTTGACAGATTTTCAGACAACGCCAGCAGCTCCACATCTGAAGGCAGCAGCTGTGCCTGCTCTCGGCTTGGGCAGCTAAAGGTCATCGGGCACTGGAAGACCAGCCTCTGAATGGGGTGACTGCTGTCCAACTCTCCTCCCTGAGAGCAGGAGCCGCAGCAAGGGGGACCCCAGCCCGCTTGGCCCAGAGCCTGGGCACCCACAGCCTGCAGCTGCCCCTCCACCCACTCTCTCTGCCCCGACTCCCAACGGGATGGGTGCGTGAGGTTACCTTGCGCGCTTCCTCTGGGTGGCTGCAGGTCACCTTCTGACCCTCCAGGTCAGGAAAGTTCTTCAGCTGGTCTGGGGAGGACAACTGGTACTCTGTCTGTGTCTTGATGACCACCTGAGGAAAGAGATGGTCACGGCCTTGCCAGGCAGCCGGCAAGGACCCACAACAGCCCTGAACTGGGAGGGGAGGGAGCCAGGGTCAGCTTGTGTCAGTGGTGTGGGTGCTGACTGCCAGGACCACGACCATCTGGTGGCCGGCAGGGCTCCAGCAGCTATAGGCTGAGGCCAAAGGAAGGTGGTCACTGCAAGTCTACCAGGGGCTGTGGCAGCCCTGGGTCCTGGCCAGACCAAGGATGGAGCCCCTCACTCTGCCACCTCCTTCGACTCTCAAGGTACTGGCTCTCCTAGCCGGGAGCTTCCCCTTTAGTGGCTCCATAGCTTGGGCCCCTCCTCCAGTAAGTCAGTCTGCCCTGACTTCTCTGCTGGCTCCGAGTCTTGCAGCCCCACCACATGGGGCACAGGCAGGTGCAGTCCCATGCTGTGTGTGTGCTCCTTAGGGGCAAAGACAGTTTTCCTACTGTATCCATTGAGATCTGGGCCCAGAGCTGCAATAGATGCAGCTGAAGTCCACCCAGATTGCTGGAGAATTGCCCTTCTGGGTAAATAGCTGGCTGGCATGGGAACAGAGTCCCTTGCCTCCAGCTGGGACAGCTCCTGCCACCCTCTCCATGCTCCAGTGCTCCCTGGGGGTCAGGCTGGCCAGCCCGAGCTGAGCTCTTTGTTTCTCACCTTTTTCTGCTGAAAGCTCCCCATCCTCATCAGTCACTTGCCCAAGGACCCCCATCTCAGGCCCCAACCCAGGACAGAGCCATGCCCAGCACAGTCAAGATGGAAAACTTTGCTTGCCAAGCCCCCATTAGACAGCGCCACGGGCTTGGTGTTGTCTGCAAGTTAGCGCGTGAATTCTTGTGCCACTTTACCCACTTACAGGTGAGGAAGGGAGCTCTGGGAGATGGTCATGCGGATCACCTGTGCCAGCTGGGGTTTCAGCCTAGCCCTTTCTCTGCTTATTCCCCTGCCCCTTGGCGGAGATCAGATCTAAATAAACCTCACCCTACACCCCTTTGTTCCCAGGGGAGCCTGAGAAGAGCCCCTCCCGCTGGGCCAGGCCACTCACCTGGTCAGGGAATGCTGGCTGGAGCTGGCTGACATCCAGGGGGCTGATCAGAGGGATGCTGTCCAGGGCAGTGCCATCTTGGTCTCCAGGGTCTTCTCCCAGCTTCCCAGAGAAGCTGCAACCCAGCTTCACCATGGTGAACAGTGGTCCTCGTCCTGGTCCAGAGACAGAGACAGGGTCGTGCACACAGGCCACCCCATGGACACCCACACCAGCTGGCTCTGGAGCAAGAGGACCCTGGGCTGGTTCCAATGCTTCTCACACCAGAGCCGGGGATGGGCCATGGATGGTCAGGCGACTTCTCCCAGGCAAACTGGGCAAGTCCAGCCAAAGGTGCCTGGTCCCTTTCTTACCCCTAGCCCCTCTGGGCCCACAACAGGGCAAGGGATGGCTCTACTGACCAGCAACTGCCCAGACACAAAACCAGGAGAGTCTTGCCCTGGCTGACCTGCTCCAGAGGACGTTCAAAGGGCACCCTATTCCATTCAAAGGAAAACAACCCCAAATAGCAGTCTGGAGAGGTGGGCTGCCAGACTTAGCAAATAAAAATGCAGGAAACCCAGCTAAATTTGAATTTCAGATAAGCAACAAATACTTTTTTTAGTGTAAGCACATCCCATTCAATATGTAATATGGGACATTCTTATTCTAAGAAGTCATTCATTGTCTATCTGAAATTCAGATGTAACTGGGTGTTCTGTGTTTTATCCGGCAACCCAGCTAGAGATGTAGGGAGTAAGGAAGAGCTTCTGAGAGAAGGACACTAACTGTGCAGAACACAGTACTCATGTGTACGGAGGGCCAGAACTCCTGGAGAGCAGAAATGCCACGCAGGAGCCCAGGGCCAGGACCCCAGCGGAGAAGACAGTCAAGGCCCTGCATGTCACGGAGGAGGGAGAGGGTCTCACTAACATGCTTGCATAATTCCACCTCTAGGCTGACCCCTTAGAGAAAAGGAACGCAGCAAATGACCTCCAAGCCGATAGATGGAAAAAGGAGAAAAACAAAATATACTCAACCAACCACAAGAAAGGTCCTGTGGCCACTAAGAAATTGAATCTGTTATCAAAGCCTTCTCAAAAAGAACTCCAAGCCCAGCCAGCATCACTATGAACTCTACCAACCATTTAAGGAGGAAATAACGCAAACGACATGCAAAACTCTTCTGGAAAAGAGAACAATGGAAAGTGCGCCAGCTTGCAGGGCCAACATAACCTCTGTCTCACAACCTGGCCAGAACAGGAGAGAGGAATTTGCAGCCAGCCCACCCACACACATCAGTGCGAAGACCCCAAATGGAATCTGAGCACACTGAACCAACAAGGCATAAAAACATAACACATCATGACTGGTTGGGTGTATTCTAGAAACAATATTTGGTTTAACATTTGAAAAGCTATCAGTCCTTTTACCATATTAACAGAATAAAGAAGAAAAATCATCTGATCAATTAAAGTGGGAGCTGAAAAGGTATTTGATAAGATTCAACACTCCCTTACTGTTTAACAACTCTAGTAGCCCACGAAGGGCAGAAGAAGAAAAGTCCCTTAACCTGCTAAAAGTTAACCATGAGAAATTCTACAGCAAATCATACTGAATTTGAATCTTCTTGCCTCTAAGATCAGGAAGGAGAGAAAAATGACCTTGAACATCTGTTTTATAAGTCATGGTGCTGGAGGTCTTAGCCAATGCTATAAGGCAGGAAAAAGAAATGAGGTAGAAGATTAAGTAATATTCTCATTATTCACAGACAAAATATTATTGACCAGAGAAGAGCTAAATCCCCTAAATAAATGGGGAAGGATATGGTCATGTTTAAATATGTCATCCTCTCAACCCTAGAATGTATCTGTGGAATCAATAAATCCCAGTCAAACTCCCCACAGAATTGCTTTCATGAACTTGACAAGCATTGCTATTTTATATGGAAGGCAGAGGGACAGGAACACATAAGATGTCCTGAAAAAGAATGGGATGGGGGGGGGGTGTTTCATCTGCCAGGTCTGGCTTTTACACAGCAGTGGAAACTGGTGTGGTAGACAAAGACCCACGTGACACACTTGGACCGTGGATGTACCACAGAGACACCGCTGCAAAGTGGGGAAGGCCACATTGAAAACAGCGAGCTTGATCCCTACCTCACACCACACACAGAAATCTACTCCAGGTGGGTAAACCTAAGTTGGAAAAGCAAAACAATAATGCATCCCAAACACAGTACAGGAGAATATTTTCCTGGTCTCAGGAAGGGAGAGATCTCTTCAATAGAATAAGCACTAGTCATAAAAGAAAATATTTTTTTTTCCTTTTTGTCTTTTTTACTGACCGGTAACGGGATCGCAACCCTCGGTGTCACGCCCGTACCGGGGACCGGCAACGGGATCGCAACCTTTGGTGTTGCGCCTGCACCGCGCTCAGCCAGTGAGCGGGAACCGGTCTCCACATGGGATCCGAACCCTCGGCGGGAGCTCCACCGCGCTCTCAAGCGGCGCACTCTCCAGTGCGCCACCAGGCCAGCCCATAAAAGAAAATATTGATAAAATGACTACATCGAAGAAGAACTTCTGCTTATCAAAACGTAGCCTTCAAAGAATGGGAACAGAAACCCAGACTGGGAGAAGATATTTGCAACCCACAGACGACAAAGAGCCTGTGGGTTGAAGGTGTCATCCCAGTAAATAAGTCTAAGTCCTGATCAGCCATGAATGTGACCTTGTGTGGCAATAGGGTGAGCAAATGTATTCAGGTTAGGATGAGGTCATAGATTAGGGTGGGCCCTAATCCAACGAGTGGTATCTTTATGAAAGGACGGAAATACTTTTTTTTTTTTTTTTTTTGGCTGGTGGGTAAAAGGAGCCCGGCAGGGACCTTGGTGTTGTTGGCACCTGCTCAGGCTAGCCTGAAGAGGGAAACCTGAACAGGAGGAGGGGTATGTAGACCGGGCAGGGATTGGAGTGATGCGGTGCAGGCTAAGGAACGCTGGGGCCACCAGGAGCTGCAAGACGCAGGAAGGGTCGTCCCCTCGAGGCTTTGGGGGGAATGTGGCCCCGCGGACACCTTGAGTCTGGACTTCTGGCCTCCAGAACTGTGAGAATAGATTTCTGTTGTTTTAGGCCATCCCGTTGTGATGATTTTTGACAGCAGCCCTGGGAAGGCCGGGTGCCCACCAGACCGGCCGGCGACCACTCTTTCTCGCCCTGCAGTGGCCAGGCCTGGGCTGGGGTCCGGGTGTTAACAGGCCCCATGGGAACGCGGAGGCAGAAACTCGCTGTCGCGCCGCCCCGCACACAGGGGACAGCGGGCGGAGCCCAGCGCGGACCGNGCCCGCGGACGTGCCGCTCCCACTGGCTCTCGCAGACCTGCAGGGGTGGAGCCAGCTCCCGGGAAGGGACTGCAGCAAACCACGGCGGGAAGCGGCTGACGTCCGGCAGTTCAACCCCCACCTGCGCTGCCCAGGCCGGGTCTGCCCAGGACGGAGGATGCAGGCAGCACGGCGGGCCTGTGCCAGGCCGGACACCCACGGCTCTTCCTGAACATCCAGTGACACTGCGGCCCCTGACGTCCCGGGAAGCCTGGGGATAAACTCCCCGCCGCCCTGCTCCCCGAGGTCCCGGGAAGCCTGGGGACCACCCCCCTCCGGTCAGGCAGAGAGGCAGAGACCCCCAAAGAGGAGCAGGTTGTGCCTGGCCGCCGCGACAGCCATCGGGTCAGCCTCCGGGCTCCCGCATACACTCGCAGCCCCGCACACGCACCCCGCACACCGACACCCGCGCCCACACGCCCTCGCAGCCCGGGCTCCCCCCACGCACCCACACTCGGGCCCCCACTCCCCACTCCACGAGGGGAAATGAGCAAAGGGCTCACAGGCGGCTCCGGCTCCCCCTGGCAGCTGCTGCAGGACGCGGTGGCAGGAGGACGAGGATGAGGATGCGGATGCGGAGGATGCAGTTCCAGACGCTTCGCAGCCGGGGCGG